CGATAGTGTCATCGACACCAAACGCTTTCTCCGCGCCGAAACGTTGACGAATTCTCACACGCAACTTGCTGACGAAGAGAGAGGATTTAACTTGCCAGGCTTAACATGGTTCCGATTCTGGAGACTACGCCGGGTGGCTGATAAACTGAAGACTACGGACGTTATTTCAGCAAAAGAGAGCAAGTGGATCGATTCGTGGGTGAAGAAGGACTTGAACCCGCAGTATGTCTACAAAAAGCTGGGGCTTACTAAGCAGGGTGACAAGGCAATGCAAAGTCAGAATTACCGACTCTTCGAGGCGTACACGGAACGCATGTTCGCCAAGGATCAAGCGCTATACAATTCATGGCTGGCGAAGAAGATGACACCGGAGGATGTCTACAAAGCCCTTAAGTTGGATAAGTTGAAGGGCGCGAAGGCGGCTGAGAGCAAGGACTTCCGTCGCTACGAAGTGTACGTATTCAAGTGGTACGAACCTAAAATATAAGTATTCTGAGGCAAAAATGGCTGATGAATGCTGTAATGGGATGTCACCAATGGCACTCCTTTACTATCATTGATACATCATCTTGGAGCCCAAGTTGCTTTTGGCATTATTAGTCATCGCTGTCCTTGCGATATTCTGCAACGTTGTATAAATTACTGGTTCGTATTCCTTCGAAAGTGTTTTCTTTGCCAGCTCGGCTTTATGTGATGTATGTACCATAAAAGAGGTACAGGTGAAAATCTCAGTATTTTAACCAATCGTTTAGTTTCAAGACCGGCACATGATGGAGGAGCGATGGGGCTTCCTAACTCCGTGGAGCGCCGCGCTTAATAAGCGACTCCAATACAACCATCTCGAGTTCGAAGAGGGAGTTCGTGATGTCCAGAAGCGCCGCCTCGTCGTGACGCTGCCTATGCGAAAATTCTGTTCCGACGAAGAAGAATTTCGCCTGAAGTTCCAACAAGTTCGAGAAGCTCTAATGCTCCTGTCTGCAGTAGCCCATGTAGACCAAAGCGGTTGGAAATATTTGCTATCGAAGCACTGTGGGGTAAGTCTTGGGAAAGAAGGAGGGGAGAAATTGGAAGAAGAAATTCCAGCTCGATTTCTAGTGCTGATGAACTTGGCGGAGCGAAAACGAGGAGAAAATGACGATGTTGACTCTGACATCGTGGACTTTTGCTGTATTCGACAACAAAAAATTAAAAGTGAAGATTTTCTTGCTGCTCTAAGGAAAATCACTACTTTTGGTCGTTCCCTGCATGGTAATAAGCTTGGAGAGGAGGTTAAGATCCCTGTACGAGTGCTGTATCAAGCTAGACAGCCCTTTTCGGCAATTGGAGACCGGCCTGTGGAAGAACTTGCCATGGCTGCACGCGCAGAGAGGGTGATTAAAGAGCGTTTGGAGCTTTTAGAGATAAAAGATGAGGAGTCTGGGTCTCTGCGGTGTGTTTTCGTGCTGGAGCCTATGATTGCAGAATTTACCAAT